CCAGCTGTGTGCGTCACTCTTTAGTGTCCCCATGTCTCCAGCTGTGTGTGTCACTCTTTAGTGTCCCCTGGTCTCCCAGCTGTGTGCGTCACTCTTTAGTGTCCCCTGGTCTCCCAGCTGTGTGCGTCACTCTTTAGTGTCCCCTGGTCTCCAGCTGTGTGTTTCACTCTTTAGTGTCCCCTGGTCTCCCAGCTGTGTGCGTCACTCTTTAGTGTCCCCTGGTCTCCAGCTGTGTGTGTCACTCTTTAGTGTCCCCATGTCTCCTCAAGCTGCTGAATGTTCTCTAAACGCTGCATGTCTCCTCAAGCTGCTGAATGTTCTCTAAACGCTGCATGTCTCCTCAAGTTGCTGAAGATGTTTCTTCTTGTGGAACCTTTGGGGTTTTATATCTGCTTCCTTTCTGAAGCTGTAGCACGTTAGCACTTGTCGACCACTGTACTTTCTACCATCTATCTAGTAGAAGAACAGCTGAGTGGAACGCTGCTTTGTGAAGCCGAGCACATCCAATTTAAATATGCTAATGTTATCACAGGGAGCATGATGGAGAAACAAGGTGGCGATGAGGGAGAACAGAGACGACACGGTGTAATGTAATTAAATGTTTGCTATTGTTGGCTTGCGTGATCGAGAAATCAATTATCACGTCCAGAAATGATGTGAAACACTCGTCTCGTGTGACCACTCCTCGGAGAAGAAACCATCAAAGATTCAAGGTCAAAGTTCAGGGAGCATTTAGCAACACAGCGCTTCAGTCCGTTTCAGACTAAACAGGATGTCATGCATTCCTTTAGCAGCGATACAAAAGTAAGGGTTTCTTATTTGCATTTCATTTTACTGCATTTAGTGTTGATGAAAGAGTTTAAAAAAACGTGCAGCTTTAGAGAGAATGGAATCCAACATTTTAGCCCTTCTTTTATGGATAAATGAAGATGAATAAACACCTCCTCAGTGTCTGGCAATGTGTCCTCTTCTTGGCCCTGTGTTCATTTATCTTGAGTGTCAGACTTTTAGCCTCGTGAACATTGTTGTGTAATTAAATGTGTGTGTCCTCGGCGGAGAGGGAAATCCCCTCTGAAGTGGTCAGGTGTCCCTCTTTGTGTTAGTGCGTGCTCTCACATTAAATCCTCTTGTTTTGGGGTGACCGTCTCCAGAGGGACTTTTTGGGGTTAAAAGCACATCAAACCCCCTCCCCTCAATCTGCTGAGGGTCTCCGATCTGCCGGAGCGTGAAACAATGAGTCTGGATCTGCTGCAGGTTGGATCCAACGCTCGGATGAACTCATTTCAGGGATGATGTGTTTTGACTGATGTCGGATTAGCGCTCAGTCTCTTTGTTCCTGGTTTTGGGGAAGGGGTCACGACAGATTAAAGGACCCCCGTAACGTTTCCCTCTCACAGATTTACATTTAACACCATGAGGACTGTTGCTCATATCTTCACGCTGCACGCTGAGTTTCTGTAGCAGGAACACAGGAGATGCTTTACAGGAAGCATGCTGTTAGCGTGTTGACGGATCACAGCATCTCTAGGAGGAGTTCAGCTCTGACGTCAGGACAACACAAGATACAAAAGGGCTTTTGAGCTGTTGCGTTTCTGGTTCATATTGTTTTTGACTCGCATCTCTTATAAGTCTTATTGGAGTTAACATTACAACACATGCTCACTCCCAACTCGTCCTATAGTGACGTTATGCCAGGATCCCTTGGCGTCACCTTCCAACGCAGAGTCACCACTTTGGCTCGGCTCCAGTCCAAACGAGCCCACTTTGTCCCTGGTTCCAGTATAGATGGCTCTGCCCTGGCATTAGTCCATTTGTGATGGAGCATGGAGATTCATTCAAGGTCACTGCTCAATGTACTCACATTTCTGTTTCCTGAGCCCCGAGGAGGATGGATTTTGGGTTGATTTTAAAATGACAGGTGACTCAAAACTTCAAAGCAACTCAAACTCAAACTATTGTCTGCATGCTACTGAATGCTAATGATCACAGTCTGCAGGTTAGCAGTTTGCTCTGCAGGCGCTGCTCCATCAGAACTCTCCTCACAACACTCCCAACCCGTCACATATTGACGGACGGTCAGGGCCCCTCCCCGTCACTCTACTACGGACAGGGTACCCCTTGGAAGTCACTTTTCAACGTGCAGGGCGTCCCATTGACTTGCATAGAGCTCCCTGAACGTTGGTAATAGAGGAGTTGGGATCGCGGCGAAATGCTCTCCTCAGATCCATTCTCACAGCGTTCATCAACCTTTTTCTAACTCAGTATCAAGCCACACTTGTTATTTTTACTTCTTCACCTTAATTGAATAATGTAGGACTTTTGGAATCCGTCAGTTATGGGGAGAGTAGGGGCTCAGAATACTGAGATCTGTATTGTTTCATCGTTTTTTCCTTCTAACTTTGTATTCTTTTCTGAACCACGCACTGTTATTTACTCAACAACAACACATCATTATCCTTGTGTTTATTTATTTGTTTGATTGTATAATGTCGTCGTTTGATAGTGACGCCAAAGGATCCTGACATAACGTCACTATAGGACGATTGGAATTAAGGTGCAATGACAAAAAACGTGTTGCCCCTCTGGTTCATATAATCAGTCTAATTGGAGTTTTTCCAAACGTCACCAACAGGAAGTGAAACTCTCGTCAGTGAAAGGATGTTAAACATTATTTAAAGAGGCCCTATTCTGGTTTGAGATCAGACAGAACAAAGTCCACTTAAAGACTGTTTTATTCTTCCTCCTAACAGGATTACCTCCTGGAGGCCAGATGTCCTCAAACTCAGTATGCAGTTCGGATTAGATCAACATGTAAATGATTTTCTGACCATCAGTTCGACTTCCTGTTGGAGACGCTAACGTAAGACCAACTTTTATAACACTTAAAAAACCTAAATTACAAAGTCAGAGTAAGTTCTCTTATTATTATTTTACTGATATTTTATTCTTAATAATATCTATAATAGACTTCTTCAATTAAAGTTTTGTAAGTCAAACGACAGCAGACTGAGTTCAATTATTTGAGCTTCAATATTTAAAAAAGAAATGCAGAAATAAAACGATATTTTATGTTATTTATCAATAGTATTTCAATTGCAAATAGTTTTCTTGTTTTTAATTGAGTCCTTTTTGTTATTATTTTACTATTTATAATTTTTTATAACATATTAAGCTTTAACATGTTATTCATCTCCTAAATATTTGTATCTTTTTTAAATGTATTTATTAATAATATTCAATTCCAAATTAGTTTTAAGAAAACGTATACTTATTTCATTTAACTTGTGTAATTTTATTTTATTTGATCAATATTTATAAACTTTATTTGTTATTACAGGTTGTTATATTACTAAAAAGCTTTAAGCTCTAACCTGAAAGCTGCTGCATCAATAGAGATATGGATTGATTGGTTCATTGATTAATTGATTAATTGTTTGGTGTTGGTGGTCTCTCCTCTAATCTCTGAACCAGTCTGTGAGTTTAATTGATGACATAAGATAAGATGAACCTTTATTGATCCCCGAGGGGAAATTCGGTTGTACAAAGCAGCAACAGGGTAAGCGTGAAAGAACAGGACAGCAAAGATTCACACAGATTAATAAAATCAAGAAAATCAAGAAAAAAAATTAAAATGATAATAATAATAATAAAAGACTATGAAATAGGAGATGAGTAAAAATAACTGTAAAATAACTGTCAGCATATATGTACATATTAGGTCATAAGTTATAAAGTACGGAATAAGTTAAAGTGAAAAGTGAAAATGGACATCTGTACACATAGTGACATCTCTACCTATTTGGTCTACTAATAATAATATGTTAACATGGGTTGTGGAAACAGTGTATATTTATGTCCAGTGATTTAATTTGATTTATTTTCCATCATTAACCCCTTATTGTGCAGCCTGATGGCTCCAGGCACAAAGGACTGTCCGAGGCGCTTGGTGCGTTGTCATGGAGGGATGAGTCTGTGGCTGATCGTACTCCTCATCTTCACTAGCTCTGCGTGGAGTGGGTGGGAGGGGTTCCTTCTTTCAGAAACTAGTGCAGAGCGACGTTAGAGAAGAATTCATGACATTTAAATCTGAATTATATTTTAAAAAGTGTTGCAGGGACATCAGAGCGTCCACCTTTAGGAGGATTCAGCTCTCATTTAGACAGGGTCATAGTGAAATCAATGAATCAATCAATAGGTCACTATCGATCACCCTTTAACTCTCACCCAGAAAGACACGAGCCCCTTTAGCCTCAGACAGGAGAGGAGAGACAGAACCTTCATGTTGTTTAGACACACGCCTGCCTTCTCCTCAGCAGCTGTTGCTCTGAGAGATGCTATTTTCACTTTGTACTTTTATGTATTTAACATTTTAAAAAGTGCAGAGTCCCCAGTATCAGCCCAGTGCTCTGCAGCAGCAGATGGAACAGAGATTTAATATTCTTATTTTACAAAATAACTGACTGTATTTAGCTTGTTTTCATTTCAGTGTGAACAAAAATATAAACGCAACACTTTTGTTTTTGCTCCCATTTTTTAGGGTTAGGGTAATGTTGTGAATCGAGTGGCCTGTGTTCATCGTCCATAACATACGCCTGCCCATACCATAACCCTAACCCTAACCATGGGCCACTTGATTCACAACATTACCCTAACCCTAACTGTTTAAAAAACTGTAACAACGGACTATTTTTCTTAGCGGATGCATGTCAATCTAACCCTAACCCTAACCCTAATCCTAACCCTCACACCAGATTTTGACACTGGTTTTCGGACCCCCCCAGACCCCCCCCCTATAAAGCAAAACTGCACGTTTCAGAGTGGCCTTTTATTGTGGCCAGCCTAAGGCACACCTGTGTAATAATCATGCTGTCTAAACAGCATCCTGATATGCCACACCTGTGAGGTGGGATGGATTATCTCGGCAAAGGAGAAGTGCTCACTATCACAGATTTTTTCAGATTTGTGAACAATATTTGAGAGAAATGGTTATTTTGTGTATATAGAAAATGTTTTAGATCTTTGAGTTCATCTGTTGAAAAATGGGAGCAAAAACAAAAGTGTTGCGTTTATATTTTTGTTCAGTGTGTATACAAAGAAGATTTACAGCTGAGACGTACCCAGTAATATGCTTTCAACTTGTGCTGATCGGCATCAAACCCTCCAGTTTCAGTCAACCATTACATGGGCTATTTCTTTGTGTCTTTCCACTTGTTCAGTAAATCTTTACTGTCATTTTGTCCAAAAATGCCTAAAAATGTCCCCAAAAAACCCAGATGTTCCNGCTAGCACCAGAAGCTAACAACAACGATCTCCGGTACCGGTGCGCTCTCTCTCGCTCGCGCACGCACACAAAATGGCTCGTTTCACACACACAGAGCCAAGCTTTAATGAAACACAGAGACCCAGACGTAATAGTACTGTATCATATTATTTTCGAAATCAATAATTTTTCAAATTATGATTTTTTTTTTTAAATAACCATTTTTCCTCCTGGTCTCTCCCTGTCATGCCTCTGCGCCCACCAGGGGGGGGCGCACCCCACACTTTGGGAACCACTGAGTTAAATAAATTAGAGTAGATTTATGAGTAAAAACGTCTCACTGAAGAGTACTTACGCCTCTCGCAGCCCCCCCTGTGACAGGTCAAATACTTGTCGAGGGTTCAGGATCCACATGAACATCTGCAACACCTTGAAACCCTGCAGAGAGAAATTACAGTCAATCATGTTTTAATGAAGTAAACTCAGGTTATCTTGTAAAACTAAATAAATCAGCCACTGACACCCTGTTAAGATCTGTAAAGTGGAGGGGTGAATTAATAAAAGATCATTTAATGTAATATGATAATGTCATGATACTGATATCTGTTATATAACACTCTGTTTGAAATTCATGGTCACCTACTGTTTGACTCAAATGTGATCAAAATGATTTGTAAACATAGATGCAGAATAATACTGTCCGGATAACCAGGATACATATAAACTATGGGTTTATAAATAATAAAAGTCTATTGTAATATTTTATTTATTTATAAATGTACATGAAATATATTGCATTAGAGCAAATTCCTTTTTATACTTATCCATTTCATAGTTTGAAGGTATCAAAATAGATATTACTAAAAATTAGGGATGGGAATTTGAAAGCAAAATGTATATTAGAATATTCGACCCCCAAAAAAACGGTAAACCGATTAGCCGAAATGTAAAATATTCATAACGCATATTCTCATATTCGAATACCTGAATAATTGTGAATATTCGATTAATCGTTTCCATCCCTACTAAAAAAAATGTAATCATTTTAAGTTCACCTGGTTTCCTCCACTCTTTGGATTGACAAAAACCAAAATGGGCTTCATGAGAGGGGAAGGGAGGGGCTTCAACATGAACGGGCGCCATTTAGACTCCTGAACAAAGCAAGACACAGATACAGAAAGAGTTAGGAAAAAGAAAGATGTGCAAAGTTTGAAAAACGTAATGAATCTGAACCTTGAAATACGTTTAAAAGCTAATAGAGTCTGTCACAGTGTTACTCACATCCAGTCCCTTCTTGCTTGTCCTTCGTTTGAAAGATGTCCGCTTTTTCCTCCTGGCAGAGTTCTTAAGCGAGCTCTAGGGTAAAAACACACACACGCACACACACACACACACACACAGAGTTCAATGGTTAGTTCACTGTCACCATATCCGTTGTGATGGTAATTAAAATAGCATGTGATGTGAGTGAGAGATATGCGTCTGAGCTTGTGTGTGTGTGAGTGAGTGTGTGTGAATCTATGAATTTCCTTAAACAGATCAGACATGTGTCAGCTCATATCACATCATAGACAGATTCACATAGACACACACACGCACAGTTTTGTATAGGTTACAATTTAGATTTCAGAAAAATCCAGTGTGTGTGTGTGTGTGTGTGTGTGTGTGTGTGTGTGTGTGTGTGTGTGTGTGTGTGTGTGTGTGTGTGTGCACCTGTGGTTTCCTGACTTTGATGATCCAGGAAGGGGGTACTATGACTCCGGCGTGGGCCCCCAGTGAACACGGCTCCTCGATCTGATGCAGCATGAAACACGTCACCTTATTGTGGAACTACAATAAAGAGAAAAACACTCACTCATTAAACTTCCTGTAGTTCTGTACATATAAGATGTAAGTGTATTTAAAGTAACTAAACACTACTATTTTCTAATTCTAATTTAATTTAATTTAATAATACTATATCATATTTTTCTCACTTCACATTCAAGTAAAATGTTCTTGACAATGCAATTATTTAACCAAATGTATGGATATTCTTTAATCTACAGTGAATAATAATACAGAGGATGATTAACTCACCGCCTGTTTACACCAGGAACAACTGATTGCGATTATTTCTTTACTGTGGAAGAACTTCTGTTGAAAACTCTGCAAGAACAGACAGAAAAACACTCAAATAAGTGTGTATAAACAGTTATAACTGTAAACAACGTTTGTGTGTGTGTGTGTGTGTGTGTGTGTGTGTGTGTGTGTGTGTGTGTTTTACCTTTCCACACTGTCTACATTTCCCCTCCTGTCTCCGCCTGTGAACCCAGTGATGTCTCAGTATGCCCTGCTGTCAGAGAGAGAAATGATAATCACGATTACTCCTCGCACAAAGTGTAAATAGGATATGTTTTCTACTATCACATGTATAGAGTCACACATACGTAGAGACTCGACCCGAAGGCCAC